GTTCATTACTAAATTCAGTACTGCAATATTTACAAACCATTTGTATTTAAGAGTAGTTGGTGGCTTTTAGGATCATTCAGAATGAGTTAGTAAATGATTCAAATCAACATTTATATATTTAATTATTTAGGTATATATTGTAGTGATGGTTAACTTCCATCACTCAACTTCATGCAGTTTTGTGGCCTAATCTAAAGTGAGAACTATTTAGGCTTTGTAAAACCCTTATAAATAACAATTAAAGGCTCAGTATCAAATGAACATTAATCTTTGCAATCTAATCTAAAAAAAACAATTACTGTAAACTTTAAACACTGCAGAATAACAGGAATGTCAAAAAAATAGAAATAAATACAATTAAATAAATTAGGATAAAACAAAAACAATATATTAATTTAACAATATATTATGAGACAACATTTTAATGTTATTTCGTGATGTTTAAACTGTACAGCAATTTTATTTGACATAAGATTGCAGATTTATTTTTTATTTGACACATTTTCATTTGTGTGTCTTCAAATAAATAGAAATTAAGTCATTTATTTTTATTTTTCCTGTTTTCAATAACCTGATGAGCTTTTACCGTTTTTCTCAGTCGCTTTGATGCATTTCTCACAACACTATTTACATTTGCACAACAGGTAATGCATTTCTCAAAACAATTAGTCATTTGGACATGCATCAGTTGCTTTCATACAATTGTCTGCTATTTATAACATTATCATTTGCTTTTGTCATGTCAGTCAAAATTAAATAAACTTCTAAATACTTAATAGTCGTTCCTTATAAAACTAATAGTCCTCATTACATTACTTGAGTCATTACATACAAAAATGTTGAACTAGTTGTCAAAATCTGTCAAATTTTATATACTGTATAAAAAAAACCTTTATTTTTCTGAAAATGTCTTCTAAATTGAACAATTTCATGAATGATTTACAGACCTGTGTGTGTTATAAGTTCAGTTCCAGTATGTTCTGCAATATAGTTTACAGTTGTGCCCAGCACTACCCAAAGAAAGCTTATGCTTGTTGTAAATAAGGGTGTATTTATTCTTTTGTACAATGCTGTGAATAAATTAGAATTGCTACTAGCAAATGCAGTAAACATGTGAAACATACATATTCAGTGTCTTGTACTCAGATACCTCACTAAATGCAGTGATGTTTCACTTTGCTGTAGTTTTCAAATGGCTGTGCAAATAGTATAAAGTGCTGTTTTGAGCATTATCAGGAATTGTCACCAAAATCTGACTTTTTTTGCATTGAAAAAATGTCCAGAGTAAACTGTCATAATGAAAACATGACTAAGCCATTTGACTATCCTGTTCATAAACAATGGTGTCAGGACTTTTCATTTTGATGACACTGCAACTTTGATTGACATGAATACTTGCTTTTGAGGAATGAACTATCCATTTTGAGCATGTGACGCGCTTTTGCAGGTTATCAGCTAGGTTTTGCAGTTTGTACTAATTGTTTTGAGAAATGCATTAACTGTTGTGCAGAAATGCACTGGTGTTGTGAGAAACGCACAAAAGCGACTGAGAAAAACTGTAATTGTCATTAATAAGGGGTTTATAAAGCATAAATAGTCCTCACTTTAGATTAGGTCACAAAACTGGATGAAATTGACTTAATAAAGCATTTATTAACATACAAATTAACTATTAGTATATGCCTGAATAATAAAAAATATAAATGTTAATTTGAATAGTTTTATAATCATTTCTCATGCATTCTGAATAATCTCAAAATAGCTTGTTTGTAAATATTGTAATAATTAGGTAATAAAAAAAATAATCATTACATTATAAAAACACAGTCAGTAATTAATCATTAAAAATGGCCTGGTAAGTCAATAATAAAGCATTTGTAGAAGCATTTCACATTTTATCTATATTTCAGAAACCCCATTTGACTATTACTAGTAATAAACAAATTCTATTTAAGTTCTTTGAACATGACTCTTGAATCATCTGTAGGCGGTACACACTGTCCTCTCTGTATGCACCAGACCCTTTTTTAACACTCCATGTTTCTGTAAATATAGAGCACAGTTCTAAAGCCTGGTTTATACTCGACTTATCCGCTAATTCACTTGAGTGCGCGCAGCGAATATGACGTCATTTCGGCGTTTGCGGAGGTTCGCTTTGAGGTGCACACAACATATTTTCGGCTGGCGGAGCACATGAATTTTTTTGAGACGCCAGCGAAAAGTGCGTGCAGTGCCAGGTCTTATTTGAGTTTTATAGGAATCACTTTGAGGAGATTTTGCCTGAAACAGGTACGACTTTACAGACACCCTTATGATCCGTGGTCATAGAGATAACCAGATGATCAATAATTCTTGGCTAGAAATTGCAACAGCAGTGGGAAGGGAGGAAAGTTTTTGTCAAAAAGTTTGTAAAAACCTGAGGGATGCATTTGTTAAAGCCAAAAGAGGCTGTGGCATAAGTGGAGACACAGGTAAACAATTACCAAATGTGTTTTTCCACCATTCATAGGTTTAACACTGATGTATACTTCACAATTTTGAATTTAAAACAATTTAATAGTTACAAACTATAATTAAGGAACAACTTATTTTTTTAATTTCAGGAAAGAATTATTTGAACCTATCAGTTTACAGTATACTAATGCCTTGTTTTTCTGGGCTTTATTGGTGATAATGGTCAGGAATGTTGGACCATTTTTGCCTTTTTATCAAGAGTAGAGGACAGAAACTAGCCAGACAGTAATGTGTGAATTGTGGAGCGGGCTAAATCTAAGAAGAAAAAAAAACATCAGTATTTTTTATTAAATGCACTTTTTTTGCTTTTATTTATGCCATAAAAAAATTATATATATATATATATATATATATATATATATATATATATATATATATATATATATATATATATATATGTAGAGCAACACATGTTCTGTTGTCATTAATATTTTAATAAATTTTAATAGATAAAACTGTCCGAGATGGGAACAAAAGCAAGTGATGTGTCAAAGTTTGATTAAAAACATCTTTAATGGTTAGAAAAATCCTTCTATTTATTAAAATATTTATAAAAATAATTAGTTGAAAATATTGAATTATATTATGGATATGACGTAGTTCCGGAAATGTCCTACTTCACTGTTTATCCGTCTGATTTTACAGTCAGCTATTTTGACTGCCCCCCTGTCATTTTAAAAAATATCACAATGGCGAACGTGGAAAATATAAAAGCCTTTTCCGTTTCGTGAGGTGCACGCGCAGTCAGCAGAGGTGCGCGATGCTGCACCAGGCAAAAGTATAAATCCAGCTTAGGGGTCTTGAATGTTTTCAGTTTGACTTGACATCTAAAAATATGAGGCACAACATTCTGCAATGTTTTTTAGAACACAAGAATTTTGCCACTGGCTTGCTTGGTTTGGGACTTGTGGAGCTGCACATCAGTGTATTTGCTCTTTAGTGTTTGGACTTTTAGCAGTGAAAATTATACCACGCTAAACTAAACTAGGCAACGCAGTGGCACAGTAGGTAGTCCTAACGCCTCACAGCAAGAAAGTCGCTGGTTTAAGTTTTGGCTGGGTCAGTTGGCGTTTCTGTGTTGAGTTTGCATGTTCTACCTGCGTTCGCATGGGTTTCCTCCGGTTTCCCCCACAGTCCAAAGACATGCATTACAGGTGAATTGGGTAAGCTAAATTGTCCGTAGTGTATGTGTGTGAGTGAGTGTGTATGGATGTTTCTCAGACATGGTTGCAGCTGGAAGGGCATCCGCTGCATAAAACATGTGCTGGATAAGTTGGTGGTTCATTTCGCTGTGGTGACCTCGTTTTAATAAAGAAACTAAGCTGAAAAGAAAACGAATGAATGAATGAACCAAACGAAACTGAACTTTAACTGTGAAAACTGGACCGACACAGTTTCAATTTCAGTTTACTTGAACTTCTGTGTTAAGCTACTTTGACACAATCTACATTGTAAAAGTGCTACAGAATGACAGAGGAATTGAATTGAAAGAACTAAAAAAGGGTAACTGGAGCACCTATAAACAGAAACTTACACCACCTGCCTCACTTCTAAGTTCTTCTGATTAGTCTACTGCTGTGAATCTGACACTGATAAGTGGCTATAGTGACACTTTGTACACTTTTGTGCAATGGAATGGAAAAAAACATGATTTTTGTAAATGAGTACTTCTGTGTGCTGCACGCAGGTGAGTGGCCTTGACAAACCACCTGTATGTGACGCATTCTTTTCCTCTCCATATGCACCAGACACTTTCTTTTAAGGACTCTTTACTTCTTTCAAGCATTGTGCAATTTTGAATGTGCTTCACACAGGTGAGTGGGTTGGACAAAGCAGTTGTATATTACTAACGCAATCTCATGGCAATTCATAACTTTTTGATTTAGTGGCTAATTCATATGAATTTGTTAAATCTAATTCGTACAATTTAGTACGATTTGCTCACCACCCAATGACGGTTGGAGTTAGGTGTGGGGTTGGCTGCCATGCCTTCATTTTAAAATAGTACATTTTCGTATGACTGAATTCATACAGATTTGTACGAATTAGACACTAAACTGACAAAACGTAAAATACTTATGTTTCCTTGAGAGATTAGGCTGTATAGGACACTACACTAAAAATTTAATACATTTTATTAAAAGAATTAAAGTAACAGACTTATAAAAGCATTGTAATACTGCTATGATTTTAAGTGCTACTTTAATCCTCACTTTGCATAAAAGCTACTGCTTAATGAATAAATGTAAATGTAAGAAAGAACTATCAAACATGTTTAAAAGCGCTTGAGCACATTTTCATTTCTGATCTATAGTTTTTTTTTTCCCTGATTATAAGTATTTTATGCACAAGATCATTTCTGAAAAATGTGCAAGATTTAATGATCCACTCTCTTGTCTTTCATTTTCTTTTAATAGCCCTTTATGACGACCATATATTGTGCTCAGTAAAAATGAAGGGTCTTGTATGAAATCTTTGTGTTGCAGGGGGATAATGGTGGGATGATGACGGTGTCTAACCTGACGCATAAAGTGTCTCGTGAGGACAACGGTCTTTCTCTGCAATGTGAGGCGTTCAACAAAGGCACGCGGTTCTCTAGCGTTCGGGCTGCAGAACTCATTGTTTACTGTGAGTCACTGCTAACATCTTTATCTAGCATCTAATTCACAGGTGTTGGTTTGAGCATATCAAGAACAAGCCTAAATCTATTTGACACTAAAACCACCAGCAGATCCTATATTAAAGGGTTAGCTCACCAGCAAATTTATAAATACCCTCATGTCATTACAACTCCCTCAAACCTTTGTTCATCTTTGGGCCTCAATTTGAGATATTCTAGATAATATCCAAGAGCTCTTTTGTCCTCTATAAACAGCAATGATCCTGAGAACTTCAGCATCTAGAAAAGGAAGAAAAAACATTGTCGAAAGATTTAATGGTATAACTTTAAGTGAAGTTAATTTATAAACTAATTTCAAGAGAATGTCTTGCTTATAATTGACCATGACTGGTCCTGCATTAACTAACGCTTGATTCATCTATCCGTTGATTCCCAACTCACTATTAATAACCAGAGTTTCTTACCTTAGTTATCTTGAAGAATCCCCCCTTCCACTCCTACTACTCCTCCCCTTTTCTTGATAGGGTAGCAATGCGGCCCAGTGGTTAGCACTGTTGCCTCACAGAAAGAATGTCACTGGTTCAAGTCCTTACCAGGCCAGTCAACGTTTCTGTGCTGAGTTTACATGTTCTTCCTGTGCTCGTACGGGTTTCCCCCGTGTTCTCTGGTTCCACAGTCCAAAGACATCGGATAAAGGTGAATTGACCAAACCAAATTGGCACCATAAATAGGCTCTTAACTTGCAGTATAGCTTTCCATAGCAATCCCTAGACTGCCATTAGCCGTAAATAAGCAGGGGAGTTCTCGAGACCTACCTGAACTCAAACTCCCCTCTCGCCCTGCAAACAGGTGGGAGCCCCAGGCTCGAGGATCTTATGAGCTCAGGGCTCTCTCCCGGGACAGCATGCCACACATGCTTTATAACCGATCATCAGCTTAGTGAGAACTCTTGAATTAAATAAAGCTCCAAGAATACTGTCTCCAAAACTGTGCTTATCTTTTTTCTTCTTTCCTGCATCATGTCAGGTTGGACATTTACTACAGTTAATACGTAATGCCATTAGACTCAGAAACACAATATGCAAGTGAATTTTTGTGTGAAGTAAATGTGCACAAGACAATTTAAAGCAGTTATAATGTTAAATGAGAAGAGCATTAGAAACTCTAAATAACAAAAAAATGGCAATAGGTGGCAGTAAATATCCTAATTTGCAAGTCTTTTAGTGCATCCCAATTAACATGCATATGCAATTATTTTTAAGTAAAAAATATGAGTAGTGTGTTCACTCTAAAAAGAAACACTGCAAAAAAAAACACAGATTTTCTTTCTTACTTGGAGTTTTCGTTTTGTTGCTGGTTCAAATGTCTAAACATTTTCTAGACCAGGGGTTCCCAAACTTTTCAGTTCGCAACCCCTAAAATAACAATGCTAGTGACTCGTGACCCCTAAATTCCTCAGAGTTGGTTATGAATATACAAACGTTGCGTACTCGACAATTGGCCTATATAAACACCAGAATATATAACACAAAAAAGTGCAACAATCTAACAATTTTGGAAATCACCAAGCGACCCCCTGTCGTTGTCCTGCGGCCCCCACTAAGGGAGCTACTGTTCATTTAAAAAGTTTGTTTTGTATTTAGAAAAACAATAATAAGTCAAAAGTAATGCAGTTTTTTTTCCTTAACTAGCTAAACTATCTGCCAATGGGCAAAGAAAAATAAACTTACTTCGAACTGAAATCATAATTAAAATAACATAATTATTTTGCTTACCCCATTGGCAGATTACTTTGCATGTATTAACGCACAACTCAATTACATATGAGTTACCATTTTTGAAAATAAAACTAGAATATTTGGACTAGAAGCAAGACACAAGCTCCAAGTATGATAAGTTTTTTTTTTTTTTTTTTTTTTTTGCAGTGAAAAAGGCACTTTAAAAACCCATGATGCACTTATTTAACGGTTGGAGAGGTGCCAAATGAGTTAATTATATTAAAACATTAAATCAACAGCCCAATTAATCATGCTACTTTTGAAAGTAGTCCCAAGTAATACATTTTTTGGAAACAGGCCAAACACTGCTTGTGCTTACTATAATATTTTTTTTTAGTTTTTTACCACATCTCTTCCGCTCATATCATTATTTTTCTCTGTAGATCCTCCTCAGAAGGTGTGGTTAGATGCTCCTCCACCAAATGTCTTTTTACACTCAGGTTCAACTCTTCGCTTAGTCTGTTTCTCCAGTGGTGGAAATCCTACAGGTCAACTTACCTGGCTAAAGGTGTAGTGGTTCAAGATTTGATTAAGGATAGGCCACTCAAAAAAAAAAAAAAGGAAAATGTAACCATCATTTACTCTCCCTAAAACGTTTTAAACAAATTATAAATTATTTATTCTGTTAAAAAAAACACATAAGAAGACATTTTTAAGAATTTTGGAAACCAGTAGGCATTGACATCCATAATAGTTAAAAAAAAATACTATGGAAGTCAATGGTTACAGGTTTCCAGCATTCTTCAAAATATCTTCTTTTCTGTTCAACAGAAGACAGACAGACTTGGGTTAGTAAATGATCTGTGACTTTTCATTTTGGGTGAACTATCTAATTTAATGGTCTTTTATTTCTGCCATTAAATAATTCTCTGTGTTTTTAAACTCCAGAACAATAAAGTCGTGCTGACCGCATCGAAGCAGGTGTCTTCAGAGCGTGGTGTGTCACGAGAGCTGCTTCTCATCCTTCATCCCAGTGACAATTTGGCCACCTACCGCTGTGACTCCTCCAACAAAGCCAAGAAAGTCCTGTCCACCCAAACCAAATTCAGGGTTCTGTGTATGTTTACAACACACCCACAAAAAATAATACATGTTTTAATAATGTAATGTGTTGTTTACATTTGTCACTTGTCAGAGATGTAATGCAGCATGTGATAAAAAAAAAAAGATGAATTTCTGTTTTTCATTTTCGAGACTGTCAAACATTAATAGCATGTCTTGTTAAACAATGAGTTTAATTGGCACAAGATACAAAACTATGAAAGTAATTGCATGGTTGGTTGGTTGTTTAGTTAGTTAGTTAGTTAGTTAGTTAGTTAGTTAGTTAGTTAGTTAGTTAGTTAGTTAGTTAGTTAGTTAGTTAGTTAGTTAGTTGGTTAGTTAGTTGCATGGTTTGTTGGTTAATTAGTTTGTTAGCTCAATAATTCTTTTGCTCGTTTGTTCATTTGTTAACTAAAATAGTAAATTTTATTCAGCTAGGATACATTAAATTAGTCACAAGTGAAGGTGGTTGGTTGGTTGGTTGGTTGGTTGGTTGGTTGTTTGGTTGGTTGGCTGGTTGGTTGGTTAGTTGGTTGGTTGATTGGTTTGTTAGTTAGTATGCCCATTCATTATTGTCCTTGTTCATTTATTCATTAACTAAATAATACCTTTATTCAGCTAAGATGCATTAAATTAGTCACAAGTGAAGTTGGTTGTTTGGTTAGTTGGTTGGTTGATTAGTTCATTTGATAGTTAGTTAGTTAGTTGGTTAGTTGGTTAGTTAGTTGCATGGTTTGTTGGTTAATTAGTTAGTTAGCTCATTTATTCTTTTGCTTGTTTGTTCATTTGTTAACTAAAATAGTAAAAATTTTTCAGCTAGGATACATTAAATTAGTCATAAGTGAAGGTGGTTGGTTGGTTAGTTGGTTGGTTGGTTTGTTGTTTGGTTGGTTGGTTGGTTGGTTGGTTAGTTGGTTGGTTGGTTGGTTGGTTGGTTGGTTGGTTGGTTGGTTGGTTGGTTGGCTGTTTGGTTATTTGGTTGGTTGATTAGTTCATTTGATGGTTGGTTGGCCAGTTAGTTGGTTGGTTGGTTGGTTTGTTAGTTAGTATGCCCATTCATTATTTTCCTTGTTCATGCATTCATTAACTAATTAATACCTTTATTCAGCTAAGATGCATTAAATTAGTCACAAGTGAAGGTGGTTGGTTGGTTGGTTTTTTGGTTGGTTGGTTGGTTGGTTGGTTGGTTTTTTGGTTGGTTGGTTGGTTGGTTGGTTGGTTGGTTGGTTGGTTGGTTAGTTGGTTGGTTGGTTGGTTGGTTGGTTGGTTGATTAGTTCATTTGATGGTTGGCTGGTTAGTAGGTTGGTTGGTTGGTTTGTTAGTTAGTATGCCCATTCATTATTTTCCTTGTTCATTCATTCATTAACTAAATAATACCTATATTCAGCTAAGATGCATTAACTTGGTCAGAAGTGAAGATGGGTTGGTTGATTAGTTGGCTAGTTAGTTAGTTGGTTGACTAGTTAATTAGTTGATTGGTCGGTTTGTTGGTTAGGATGCTCATTCATTCTTTTGCTTGTACATTCATTCAATAAATAAATAATATGTTTATTCAGCTAAGACGCATTAACTTGGTCAGAAGTGAAGGTTGGTTGGTTGGTTGGTTAGTTAATTGGATGGTTTGTTGGCAAGTTGCTTGGTTAGTAATTGCATAGTTAGTTAGTTAGTTAGTTAGTTAGTTAGTTTCTTCTTTGGCTTATTTGTTGATTCATTCCTTCTTTAACTAAAATTAACTGTTTTATTCAGCTGAGATGCATTTAATTGGACAAGAGTGACTGTAAATGCATTTAGGTAAATGGTTATGATTAAAATAAATCTATTGACACTTAAACTATCTATTCCTCGATGAATCTTTAAAATATGGCAAAATACTATAAAAAAATTATAAAATACAATTTTCAAATATTTACTAACCTTTTAAACTTTTTATTTTGATGCACTGTATAAAATGCAATGAATAAAGTTCCCCAAAGAATATTTTCCAACAATTTGTGACAAATGACTATAAACAAATAAAAATATTACATATGCATATATCTGTAAAAAGACTATTTGCACAACTTTTTTTATATGCTTTAAAATAAAGACCTACTACCTCAATTGCTGTCTCATTCTAATGTGTTGTTCTCTGTATTGTCAGTTCCTGCAGTGAGTGTGAAGATTGTGGCCAAGCAGAAGGAGCTGCGCAGAGGTCAGACTCTGGATCTGGACTGTCTGGCCGGCAGCAGCAATCCCACTGCAAATATCAGCTGGAGTCTGGGGCCCGTCATGTACTAAAACCCAACCATCACACACATACACTAGCACACACTCAGCTAATACTGTAAAATTCAGTCAACACTCCCAAGGGGTTTTGCTCCCCATCTTATTTATTCACAACAACAGACTGGAGATTTGCACCTGAGAACACAGGCAAATACAACATATTGAGTCTCACTGGTCTGAGGAATTTGGCTTCGAAATTACCCATGTAGTGTTCATAGTACTCTCTATTGTGCTATTATTCAGGTATTACTTCTTATATATAAGAATAATTTATATATGTGTGTGTGTTCATCATACAAAATATATATAATTAGCTTATTATTATTTAATCTCTTGCGATAAATAAAACACAACAAATACAAAACAGAGTCAACAAGCAGTGAGGATGATTTGGTTGTCCTCTCTTTTTTTTAGAAGAGAAATAAAAAGAGTAAATATTGGCTCTTTCCTATCCTTAGATTGTGTATAGAGAAAGGAGAAGTTTACCTTATCAAGATGATGTGGGATTATCCTCAGCGGTCAAAGTTTACTTTAGGATGTCACTGGCGCTGTTTGCAGTTTGCCAGTGATTCTGAAGCCATATTTTGAAGATAAGACCACCGATTTCTGTGACTCAATTGATCATTACAGGAACCCTTCACTCCTTTTGACAATAAACTGATTTCACGTGGCTGCTATTTTTCAAAGAGAAATTGAGGCTGCGGTGGGAAGAAACCCAGAAGTATCGTTGGGAGTTTCATAGGAACGTTGTGTACCTGGCTGTATATCTCATCAGCGAAGAGAAAATGACACAAATATATAATTTCGCTGCCTTCCGAGTGACCCGAAGGTCCGTTCTGAATGAATGGTAAAAATTAAAAGGGATATCAGAGCTCATTTTCAGCTTTCAAGTTAAGTTAAATGGTAGTTAGCTAACATTTCTTTCCCAAACACACATTTTAGATGCCATTTATCAAACTCGAGGTAATGAACTGATTTTTTCACTATATTAGACTTGTCACGATACTGAATTAAAAGAAAAACCGTCAATTTCCCGCTAACATTTAAGGCACTGTTGATGGCTTTCTTGAAACAGCGCTGATTTGCCAATGTGTTCACGTGCTCAATAGAAATGCTTGTGATTCCCAGAGAAGGTCATCAGTTCACCCCTCCGCTGTTTACAGAGCACAAACACAGACGAGCGATCTGCTTGATGACTCGACTGATCTTCATGGCTGCTTCGTGCTCCAGTGTTCTTGTATCTGTGTTTGCACTGGGTGAAGAGCGGTAAACTTTTGAGCACTGGTGAATACTATGATAAATCAGTGCTGTTTATGTGCTCAGCGGCGCTTGAATTTTAGCCGGAAGTGGACGTTTTTAAAACTTCAGTACCGGGACAACACTATTACAGACAACACAAGGGTGTGCTACAGAGGACTGCAGTGTTTTATCGCTCACCAGGTTACTTACATAGGCTGAAGCAGGAAAGTGTCCCCACGGTGTTTAACTAGTGCCATGAACTGAAGTCTAGGAGGACACTTGAGCGTATTATTCTTAAATAGATTGTGATGTTGTTTGATGCTAAATTGCTTTCAATTGTTTAAATTAAAGTTACTTAATGATTTTAAAGTGATGTTTACATCATTTCGGCATTTTGAATTCTCGGCAACAGCTGGAGGTTTATAGTCCACAGCATGTTTCTGCAATGTTTACAGTGCTGGTCCTATACTTTCGGGTTTCTTCCCACGGTAGCTTTGCTTTGGTTCCTTAAAATGGCGGCCGTGTGAAATAAGCGTATTGGCTCATTTTATAACTTCCCTAAAGTTGAATTTTACCTTTTTTTCACCTTTAGCTTAGCATAACATAGATCATTGAATCAGATTAGATCATTAGCATATCAAAAGCATCAAATCAGAGTAATTTTTTCTATTTGAAGCTTGACTCTACTGTTACAATGTGCATCGATGGAAAATGAAAAGTTCTGATTTTCTTAGCTTGTTTTCTCTAGGAACATATTAGGGCTCTTAACAAAACAACTGGCTCATTTAAATTAATAAAAAAGGAACAGGACCAAACATAAAAAAGACACCAGACACTTGAATCTAAATTTGATGTCCTCGCCAATACTTTTTAATCCAAAAAGGTCAATCAAATTAGCACAACACAGAAGAAAATTAGCGAATGAAAATATATAATAGGGCAGCTCAGTGACTCAGTGGTTAGCACTGCTGCCTCATAGCAAGAAGGTCACTGGTTCAAGTCCCTACTGGGCCATTTGGCATCTCTGCGTGGAGTTTGCATGTTCTCCCCGTGTTCGCGTGGGTTTCCTCCAGGTGCTCCGGTTTCCCCCACAGTTCGAACACATGCGCTATAGGTGAATTAGATGAACTAAATTGGCTGTAGTGTAAGAGTGTGTACATGAAATATTGGGTACCAAGACATGAATGCTTTCTTTGACATTCACGATGTCTTTATTAATTTATTTTGTCTTTGAGTTATTTTAATTAAATAATTAAAAATCAAGGCATGATCATATTTTATTTTAGTTAAATTAGTGTAATCTAGAGGCCTTTGCCTTTCATATAAGCCACTTTTGATACCAAATGCAAGTTATTATTTAATGTTCCTAAAACTTAGATAGGTAGCAAGACTTTTGTCAGGTAGTGTACCGTATAGGACCCAAACCAAATATAGGAATTTTATAGGAGCTTTGCAACACTCTTCAAAATATCTTATTTTGTGTGCAACAGAAGAAAGACGTAAAACAGGGTTGGTATAAGTAAAAGATGAGTGAATGATGACAGAACATTCCTTATCTGTTCGAAAAGAGCAGAATTTGAACTCAATAAAAGCTCTTTGTAAAAGCAATGAAGTGTGAAATGTTTGCAAACAGCTAATGAGCAGTTTGGCAATGCCTCCTTTAAAAAAAACTAAAAAACATCTGTATTATATTTCAACTGGCAGCCGGTGATCACTAAGTCATTACCTTGTTATAATCTGCCTCTAGCGCTATCAATATGTGGCCAGTTGGAGAAATAAAAACCAAAAAATCTACTTTATTACAGTTGTGAGCAGATCAGATGTGTTCTCTAGCCAAAACGTTGTGCCTCGGTTTTCATTTCCAAAGAAATCCAGCTATAAAGCGTCAGAGTTTGTGAGCGGAGGAGTGGTCTGCTTCCAGTTTTTATAGGTTCTCGGTTTTGTCGGATGGTCCCCGTGGGACCCTAACACATGTCGGGCAAACAAAAAGATTTCACAGCAGGCGAATGCTCTTTCTGTGAAGGGCTTTATCGAATATTCATAGTCTATTTTGGCGACGTTACTCCGAGGGGAATGTTTTTGAACATTTTTCTTCCTTGTATAAAGCGTCTATGTAAAATAACACTGTAAATCGTGTCATGTCTTTTATAAGGCTTGTTTTTTTCCCTCCTTGTTTCTGTCAGACTGAAGGGAGTGGACCAGGCTCCGAAAAGGGCTGAATTTGGTGGGATGTCCCGGACCAGTAAGCTGTCCCTGACTCTTGAATCCCATCACTGGCGGAAGCGAATCACCTGTCAGGCCTTCAGTAATGTGCTTTCTGAGGGAGTCAACAATTTCTACAGCCTCGATGTGCTCTGTGAGTTTTCCAGCATGATTTTTTTTTAAATATATACTTTAAATATACAGTTTAAGTCAGAATTATTAGCCCTCCTGAATTATTAGCCCTCCTGATATTTTTTAATGGAAAGATGATTTTTTCAACACATTTCTAAACATAATAGTTTCGATAACTCTTTTATCTTTGCCATGATGACAGTACATAATATTTTACTAGATATTTTTCAAGATGCTAGTAATCAGCTTAAAGTGACATTTAAAGGCTTAACTAGGTTAATTAGCTTTATTAGACTAAGGCAACTCATTATATAGTTATGGTTTGTTTTCTATCAAAATAAAATATTACTGAAGGAGGCCAATAACATGCACCTTAAAATGGTTGTAAAATATAAAAACTACTTATAGTCTAGCTGAAATAAAACAATTAAGACTTTCTCCAAAAGAAAAAATATAGTAGAAAATACTATAAGAAATTATTTGCTCTATTAAACATCATGTGGAAAAAAAAATCACAGGAGGGCTAATAATTGTGACTTCAAATGTCTCATTAATTATCTATTAAATAAATAACCCCATGTATTATTTATTTGCTTACCTCATGCTATTTATTTATTTGATTCATAATAAATAACAATAATAGTAATAGTAGTAATAATAATAATTATAATATTAATAATAATTATAACAATAATAATAAAACTGAATTAAATGTATAAATAGCACCAAAATAAATAAATAAATGATATACTTTTTTTCTGTTTCATAAATCAATTAAAATAATCCTTTTATTTATTTATTTATTTATTTATTTATTTCTTTATTTATTTATTCATTTAACAAATATATGCATCAATTATGAAAAATAATGGGATCATTTATTTATTTCATATTTACATAAATAACTAAATAAATACAGTATTTAACTAATTAATTTTTTACTTTAAATACATTTTATTTTGGATTTATAATAAATACATCCTAATAAATTAATACTTGTGTAAATGACATATAAAAAAGTTTACTTTTTGTTTCATAAAGTAATTAAAAACAATACCTCTATTTAATTATTTATTTATTTATTTATTTATTTAACATATACATCAGTTATAATGGGATAATTTTCTTATCTCATATTTACATAAATAACTAAATAAATGTAATATTTTATATTTATTTAATTAAATATTTAATTTAATACATAATAGTAAATTAATAAATGTGTAATTAACAATAAAATAAATAATATACTTTAAATTAATAAAAATAATATCTCTTTATTTATTTATTTTTTCACATACACATGAATTATGATAAAGAATGGGATAATTTAGTTATCCCATATTTATAAATAACTAGATAAATGTTGATAAACATGTAGATAAATGTAGATAAACATTATTTAATTTAAATTGATTTGTTCATTGATTTATAATAAATGAATAATAAATTAATAAAAGTGTAACTAACAATAACTAGATAAATATTTTTTTATGTTCTGTAAATTAATTAAAAATATTCCCTGTGTTTATTTATTTATTTAACAAACATATACATCACTTATAATAAATAATGGGATCATTTGCTTATCTCATATTTGCATAAACAACTAAATATATACAATGTTTAATTAATTATTTAATGAATTGTTTAATTTAAAATCATTTGCTCATTGATTCATAATAAATACATAATAATGAATTAATAAATGTGTAAATACCAATAAAATAAATAAATCATATACTTTTTTATTTATTTATTAGTTTTTTTATTATCATTCTTGCCTATAAATTATTTTGCATTATTTCATTAATTAAATAGCAATTATTATGGATAATTGATTATTTTATTAATTTATCTTCTGTATAAGGAATAATTTATTATTACTAAGTTGTTGTGTTTTATTATAGCAATTACATAATTTTGTAATAATTTTTCTTTTTTAATTGAAATATATAAATAAAGATGTAATTTAATGATAATAATAAATAATTTACTGCATTTCATAAATTTAAATACGTTAAACACATTTTATTTGGTAATAGTTTATTTATTAATAATGTTTGAATAATTTTTTCCATTTTTGAATAAAATAAAATGAAAATAAAATGTTACTTTATTAGTTTTTAAATAATAATACATTATATATAATAATATAACATATAAAATAAATTTTCATATATTTATTATTATTATCTATTATTTTTACAATGAAGTAATGTACATATTTTTAACTAGTGGATATTTTTCATACCGCATATGAAAAATGTGTAATATCCTTTAACATTCTGTTACTGTATCTCTCTGGTATAAAGATATGCTGTTATTGTGCTCTGGTAAGCACTGTGATGTATGTAAGAATGAGTTTATATCCTTTAATGCTTATGGCGAGTGTATGGTATTATGTGTGTTATGTGTGTGTGTGTGTGTTATGTGTGTGTGTGTGTGTGTGTGTGTGTGTCTTTGTGTCTGCAATGATTATGGTTTGACTTTGATGTTGTTTTGTCTGATCCATCCAGCCACCTCTTCAAAGCCTGACACGCTTTCTGAGCATGACGGAATGACACCGTGTGTGTATGTGTGTGCGTATGTGTGTGTGTTTCGTTCACACAGCTTGATTATTGCACATCCTCCACAGTTTGTGATTTTTATATCTCTCTATGTAAGAACAGACCATTAATTATCACCCTCTCTGTGTGTTATTGTCTTATATTAAGATTATATTTCATCTTCATATATTTCATTTCATTTATATTTTCATACTTTCTCTGTGAGTGTTTGAGCATCTGTGTGCATCTGCTTGTGAATGTTAGCAAACGGTTTGTGTTGAAATCTGCATTTGAATCCTCGTCCGTGTACACAAATGAGACAAAGACACAGAAGCCCCTTCAGAGAGATCAACAGCACAATAAATCATGCGCTTTATTCACAACAGATCAATCCACAGGCTGAAACTGCTGCTTTCTGCAATTGTTTCCACAAAAATGAACTTGTGAATGCCACATATGAATTGACGAACGTTTGAATAGTCGTTATCAAGGCTTGACATTAACTTTTGGGATCACCAGCCACTGTGGCTAGTAGTTTTCCACCGCCACAGTTTGTTGTTAGGAAAATATATCCGCTTGTTAAGTGATGACGTGTTTGTGATGTATGTATACTGTTTAAGGGTCCAAGCCGCCATTCATTTGAGTGGAGAAATCATAAGTTTATGATCACGTTTTATTCCTATCACACATTAAAGTTAATTTTATATAAAGTCATAGTGTACACAACAATCTCTGGGCTTTCTGCTTAACAAATACCAAAATTTTAACAATTTATGAAAAATTAATCACTTTCTGGCCATCGGATATTAGGCATGGACATATATATTGCGATCGTGATTTTCGAAAGCCTTAAATCGCTTTGTAAACGTTTATTATTACCATTTTATGAGTCTCCCCATTCAGTTGAATAGAGCGCTTGGACCCGGAAGCCGCTTCGCGTGACGTCACACTTAACAAACGGATTGTATGCATAAATTTAACCTTGGCATGGGTTGCGGCATGCTAAAATTACTTAATTTAGATTTTGTTTTTTTTCCACTTGCTTCCTCGTTTATTTAATGTTCATTCATACCTCGTTCATTTTTTGTCCATGAGCTTACTCAATGAACATAAGCAAATGGGCTATGCTTTCATAAAAAGTGTCGCATTGGAGTTAGTTTTCATGCACAGGACTTTTCAGGGCTCAAAACAATAAGGATTTACCTTTTTTTTCTCTGGCCACAGCAAACTAATTATTTCCTTGCCACAAATTTGAAATATTGTGTCAAAACAAGCAAAATACAGCTGTATAGACACTTTTTATTCAAGAAAACAGCTGACATTTAAAAAATATAGGTTCTAATGCATCTAAATCTATGCACAATGTCTGTTCTGGCTGAAGATCCCAGATCACCAGTTAACTATGCATACAACAACATATTAAAGCAATAGTATTGTAAAGGATGATTATTAAACTATATTAACAAAAATAAGCAAGCAAAAGAAAGCGGGTAAAATACATTCTGTGTGCGATAATGAAAGGATGATGCCGCGCACATGGTTAATTAGGCTAATTAATAATCTGTTCAAAAAATGGGTAAAGCGAAACTGACAACAACTGCTGCTGCTTACAAAGTATCTCGAGCCCTTGAAGGACTGTGAGTGCACGAGCGTCGCACCAGTAGTTTTGTTTCCAGGGACGGTTGCTTCGAGTGAGGAAACGACACAGGAGCTTTTAAGCACTCGCACGCATCAAAACATCTGGTCGCTCGACACTAAACCCCTCGTCAGTGAGTGAGGAAAGCCTGTTTCACCATGTGCTTGATCCTCTCATTCATTATTCACCTGCTTTCTTTCGCTCGCGCTAAAAGCTGTTTTTGACAGTCGTGATGCTTCTCGATTCTAAGATCACATTTGTTTGCATATAGACAAACGGTCATAAACTAACAGTCTAATCCAGTGATGACGAGCCAGCACTGGCTGTTTAAAAGCAAGTTTCAGCCAGCCGAAGTGGCTAGGGGGAGTGGCTGTCTAACCCACCACAACCAGGGCAACAATTGAAATCTACCCACATTTGGCGGGTTGGCGGGTGTTAATGTAAAGCCCTGGTCGTTAATATAAAGAAATGTTGAAATGTTAACTTGTCTTTAGAGCATCTGTATTTGGTTTATTTTCATATCCTATTATTCAGGGGTGTCACAGTGGCGCAGTGCGTAGCACAATCGCCTCGTAATAAGAAGGTTGCTGGTTTGAGCCTCGGCTGGGTCAGTTGGCATCTCTGTGTGGAGTTTGCATGTTCTCCCCGTGTTTGTGTGGGTTTCCTCTGGGTGCTTCGGTTTCCTCCACAGTCCAAAGACATGCGCTGTAGGTGATTTGGGCTAAAGTGGCCGTTGTGTATGTGTGTGAATAAGTGTGTATTAAAGTTACCCATTGATGGGTTGCAGCTGGAAGGGAAACCCCTGCGTAAAATATATGCTGGATAAGTTGGCGGTTCTTTATGCTGTGGTGACCCCATTCCACCAACTTATCCAGTGTATGTTTCACGCAGTGGACGCCCTTCCAGCTGCACACCATCACTGGGAAACACCCGTACACTCTCATTCCCACACATACACTACAGATAATTTAGTTTACCCAGTTTATCTGTAGCGCATGTCTTTGGACTTGTGGGTGAAATCGGAGCACCCGGAGGAAACCCACGCCAACATGGGAAGAACATGCATTATTGATTATTATACATCAATATTATTGATTCTATTATTAATTCTTCTTATTTTCATTTAAAAAATAGAAAATATAAATATATTAATATTGTGAAGAATTATATCATAACTTTACAGTGTAAATACTGAAACAGCCCATAAAGATGTTTGTAATGCAGCAGAATATTTTATTTTGTTTTTGTTTTATTTTAATATTTGTTAATATATGCTACTGTATGTTTATTATTACACATACATGTATAAAATAAACTAATAAATTTATTAACTATTATATCTATTATTCAAAATAGTTTGCTTGTTTTGTAAACAAATATTTATTTACAGAATTAAAGCTACATTTAAAATTAAAATACACAGCTGAAGTCAGAATTATTAGCCCCCCTTTGATTTTTATTTTCTTTTTTAAATATTTCCCAAAAGATGTTTAACAGAGCAATACAATTTTCACAGTATGTCTGATAATATTTTTTTTTAATATTATATACAGATAATATTTTTTTCTGTATCTCAGCAAGAATAAAAGCAATTGGTAATTTTTTAAACACCATGTTATGGACAAAATTATTAGCCCCTTTAAGCTAAATTATTTTCTGATAGTCTAACAAACCATCATTGTACAATAAATTGCCTAATTACTCTAACCTGCATAGTTAAACCTAATTAACTAATTACTTTAACTTAGTTAAGCCTTTTAATGTCACTTTAAGCTGTATAGCAGTTTCTTGAAATAAACATTTAGTAAAATATGATTTACTGTCATCATGACAAACATAAAATTAATCAGTTATTAGTTATGAGTTTTTAAAACTTATGTTTAGAAATGTGTTGAAAATGTTTTTCTTTGTTAAACATTGGGAGGGGGGGAAACAGGGGGGCTAAAAATACTGACTTCAACTGTAAATGTTTACATAAGTATAAATGATAGTGTGTTAATTCAATGCTGAAGTGTCGGTCTCGAATTAGACTTGCTAATATATTATGAGATAACCTGTTAGATTTATTGCTGTTGTACCGTATGGTGTGAGATGCACTTTTCCCATGCTGATCTCTACAGTACGTCTCTAAAAATACATTCACCAGCACCTTCCAATATCTGCTTGATTCAGTTCCTCCAGAGTTTTCAGATGAGCAGCCTGATGAAGTCCAGGTCATTGAGGACGAAACTGCCACGCTTCCGGCCAAAGTCTCTGCAAACCCAGACGAAATCACCTGCGAGTGGATCTTCCAGGGCGAGAAGCTTGTGAAAGGTACAGCAGACGACAGACAGTACATGACACTATGAGCGTAAACACACATTGCCATATGCGCGCTGAATAAAACATCGATAGGTTCTGGCACTGCACCTTTGGCAGATGTGATCTTGCTAATGTATGCGCCCTAAATGAGCGCTGCTGTCGCTCTGAATGCAATGCAGCTCTTCCGGTCTTCATTTTGCTATTGAAAGCTCAGCAGTCCTGCGTAGAGGTCCCTGCAGAGGTATTCCTGCAGGAAGGGCTTGAGCCGATTAGCCTGCTGTTTTCAGTAGCCGGTTTTCCATTGTTGGGTCAGTGCAAGTTTACAAGGGACCGGATAGGACAATAGCCTTGAGCTCAAGCAGTCCAAAATCAGAACAGTAATCTGTAGTAATAGCATTACTATAGTATAGTAATCTAAACATGCTTATAAGATGCCCCTATGATCAAAATGTAAGTTTTTTGGGTGCTAGAATCAATGTATTAGCCTTAAAAGAACACTACACATTTTGAAAATAGGCTCATTTAACAAGTCCTCTACAGTTAAACAATTCAGTTTTACCGTTTTTGAGTCCATTCAGTCTATTTTTGGGTCTGGTGGGAGCACTTTTAGCTTAGCTTAGCATAAGTCATTGTGTCAGAATAGACCATTAGCTTCTCAAAAATGGCCACATTATTTTTCTATTTAAAGCTTGACTCTTCTGTAGTTACACTGTGTACTTAGACTGACAGAAAATTTTTAAAAGTTGCTATTTTCCAGGCTGATATAGTGTTAGAACACACTTTCCATGCCAAATAAATAAGATCTAGCTCCAGATCATGTCAGAAAATGTCAGTTTCTTTGAGTATCCAGACAACAAGCCAGTGGAGTCGCCCAATACTTATTACTCATTAACCTGTATTCAACTGAATGAACAGTCTCCTATCAATATAGGAGTTGATTGAGAAAGACAGGGAGGAGCATAAGCAGGAGATGAAGTAATGATGATAAAGAAACAGCTGCGTTTATTGAATAATCTTGGGTGTGTCCGATTAAATGCTCAAACTTCGTCTGACCAGGATAAGTCTAACAAGTGTTATTATACCACAAGCAACAGCAATGGAGAATTACTGCTTCACAACTCTTGTCCAGAGACAATAAAGACCTTGAAATGGAGACATTCTCTTATCTCTTACTCATGAAAGCAAGTGTTTCTTGAATCCACACAGTCATAAGATGATAACAACGTGGAAAAAAGGAAACTATTAAAGCTACAATAATTAGGAAAATAGTAAATAGGAAAAGTAGTAATAATAAAATATAAAATATAATATAAAAACATAAGAAAATTTTAAATATTTATCAATAATAATAATAATAATCAAAGCATTCCATAACATTCAAAAACATGTAAAAATGATAATTATATAAATGACTAATGATCATATGATTAAATAAAGTCATTAAATGAAGAATCAACACACATACATTTGCTACAAGGATTCTTAGATCATTAGTTAGATTCTTTACTTTTATTTCACTGTAATAATCAGCAAGTGGTGCAAAAATATTATGCAGTGCCTGGAAATCAGCTAACATCCATTAATAAAATTATAATGTGACCATCTTTTTTAACGATTAAAAAAATTTTTTACTTTGGTGCAGATCCTGAGCCATATATATTTGAACTGGAATAGCAAGATGATAATGGTCTAATCCGATTTAATAATCTATGCTAAGCTAAGCTAACAGTGCTCTCACAGAACCCAGAGATTGACTAAATGGATTTAAAAATAGTAAAATTAAACTGTTTAATTCTAGGGGAGGTATAAACTATAGAGAGTTAGTTATAATAAATAAATAAATAAATAAATAATAAAAAAATGTTCTTTTAAAGAAAAAAGTGAATCCCAAAATAAAAATGTACTCACTATTTGCTCACCCTCAAGTGGTTTCAAATCTTTATGTTTATTGTTTGTCCGTTAAACACACACAAAAAATAAATAAATAAATAAATAAATAAATAAATAAATAAATAAATACATATATAAATATATATATATATATATATATATATATATATATATATATATATATATATATATATATATATATATAAATAAATAAATAAATATATATATATATATATATATATATATATATTAAAGAATGTTGGATACTAGTACATGCAGCTACCGACAGTCATAGTAGGGAAAAATACTATAGAACTCAATAAACAGCTAAAATCCACAGTGCAAGCAAATGGCAAAATCCAGAATGGCATCTGGTTTGATTTGTGTCGCAGCACAAAGAGTGGAACACAAAAACCCCTAATAAAATAGATTATATAGATATAATGTTGTCTTCTTTTTAATATGTGGCTGCAGAGTCACTGACATCCTGAAGTAAACTCAAAATCTCTCAGGATAATCCCGCAGCTCGTCTCAACGCAATCTCAGGATTTGATGGATCCAGTATTTCCTCTTTCTATTGCTCTTTTTAAGAAGAGAGAGAACAACAAAATCATCCTCGCTGCTTGAAGACTTGAATTTAAATATGCAAATGAGGTTTTATTTCATTAGGTATGCACTGATTTGCATACATTTCTAGCACTTGTTTATTTTTGTAGACATATTAGAGTCAAAGGTTTTTACAGAAGGGATTTTGGCATATCTTTTTTTTATCATTCCATAATTTAGAAAAAGTAAAACAACATCCAGAAAAAAAGATACATTTTCACAGTTTTTTTTTTAATAAAATTTAGATTGATCAGGCAAATTATACATCTTCGGCCGCTTTATTGGGTACCCCCAACAAGGCATTTGTGCCCACAGAACTGCCACTCACTGGATATTTTCTCTTGTTCAGACTATTTTCTGTAAACCCCAGAGATGGTTGTGCGTGAAAATCCCTGTAGATCAGCAGTTTCTGAAATACTCAGACCAGCCCGTCTGTCATTAATATCCTTGCCACATTCAAAGTCACTTAAATCACCTTTCTTCCCCATTCTGATACTCGGTTTGAACTGCAGCAGATCGTCTTGACCATGTCTTCATGTCTAAATGCATTGGGTTGCTGCCATGTAATTGGCTGATTAGAAATTTGCGTTAACGAGCAACCTAATAAAGTACCTAATGTACCTAATAAAGTGGCCGGTGAGTGTATTTGAATGTGTCTGTCTGTAAAAACCCTGCAGAAAATGGATATGAATCAAACTCTACACTTTTAGTGGATGTTTATGGCTCAGTGCAGGAGGAAATGATTTTTGAGGTTTGAGAAAATGGCCTTTAAAACATGTCTTTTATTTAATAAAATGTGACAAAATGTGTGTTTTGGATGTTTTCTTTTTATTGTAATGAAAATAAAATGCTTAGCGAAAAACCATAAAGATCTAACTATAAAAAATTGCTAGCCCTGGCACATACTAGCAGACCCGTGTTTCTTCCGAAAGTGTAAAACTCATGCACATGTGCAGGGTTTGTGTTTGTTTTAGTGGTCTGGTGTTGTCGCAGCTCTGTGTGATTCCCCTGTTTCGTGTGGGTTGTGTCACGTCTCTGTGTGTGTTTCATGTGGATGCTGTATCACGTCTCTTGTATGTGTTTGTGACAGAAAGAGATCCTCGTTATACCTTCAGTGACTGGACTCTTGAGATCGTGAACGTGTCTCGGCGGGACGGGGGCGATTACATCATCGAGTGCTCCAACGCGGAGGGGAGCAATCGCACCAAACTCAGACTGGATGTACAATGTGAGCAACTCTAAACTATGACGTGTTATCATAGGTTTGATTCATGTGTTATGAATATGTGATTTTTCAAGTGGAAATTATTTTGTTTACAAAAAGTGCACAGAAAAAAAAAAAATATATATATATATTTTAGTTGGAAATATCGCATATATTTATTTCAAAGTATCACATATTAGTGTAAAGTATTAAAAAATGTTTGGCTTTTGTTTTTTTTGTTGTTTTTTTCAAATTAGATATAAAATAACTTGTTGTTGAAAAAGTTATACTGCTTAATATTTTTATTGCGGAAACCATAACAGACTTATATTAATTAATTAAAGGAATTAATAAAACATTCTACTGTTAAAATAATATGCACATTTAGAATATTCATCTTTCCACCAAAATTTTAGGCAGCAAAACCTTTTATAATGATTTAATATGTCATTTCATGATTTAAATTTATTTTATTTTATATACAAGTATTACATGTATTATAATATACATATAAAACATACCTTTACATGTAAGTAAGTAAGTAATGTGTATTTATATAGCGCATTTGTCATGGATGGCCATACATCCGAAGTGCTTTACAATTATGAGGGGGTCTCGCCACACAACCACCAGTGTGCAGCATCCACTTGTATGGTGCGACGACAAACACAGGACAACAGCGCCAGTGCGCTTACCACACAAGCTATAGGGGGAGTGGAGAGACATTGAGCCAATTCAGTGGATGAGGATGATTTAGAGGCCATGGTTGGTAAGGGCCGATTTTGGGGGAATTTGGCCAGGACAACTGGGTTACACCCCTGCTCTTTTTGAAAAGTGCCATAGGATTTTTAATGACCACAGAGAGTCGGGACCTCAGTTTAATGTTGCATCCAAAAGACGGCGCTCAATGACAGTATGGTGTCCCTTCACTATACTGGGGCAGTAGGTCTCACATGGACCACAGATTGAGCGTCCCTGTTGGCCTCACTAACACCACTTCCAACCCAGTTTACCCATGTGGTCTCCCATTCAGTTACTGACCAGACTCAGCCCTGTTTAGCTTCATTGAGTAACCGGTCTTGGGCTGCAGGGTGACCTACACATACATAGCCTTTATAGATTATCAGTATTGTATTATTACCATGGCACAATCACAATTCTACCCTTTACCCCTTACTCCTACCCCTCAATTTGCACGTTCACATGAAGGAGTAGGGTCATACCAATTCACATTAGCCTTAGCACTGTAGGGCTAAGAGAAAGGGCTAGAAAGCCCTTGAAATGTAGATTTTTTAGGATCTCGATCGAAACCAAGGGGTACAAAAATTTTTCAGAATACACCATCACACCGCCATTATTATGATTTTTTTACAACAAACAAGCATATGTCTTACTACATTCATACTGGTGTTTATGTGTTACCATTATGCTTTTTTTTAAAAAAAATATTAAAAACACTAAATATTGCTATCTATAATCCCTAATCATAACTCCTGTTTAGCAGTCCCACAACATTCTGTCACTCCAATACCCTGTCAGGAAAGTCTAGTGGCTGCGAATGACCTTTTTACAGTGTCTGGTATAATATTAATGTTGTTTTCTGGTGTGTAGATGAATATGGCCATGGTGTAAAAACACAGCACAGTTACAAGCTTATTGCCAAATTATATCATTATGATAACATGATATACGCCTTCAATGATGTCCTGAAGTATATTACCAAAAAGTAGCAACGCAACTAGAATAACTACAGCAGTCGCGATCATCGATCTTATATAAAATAAGAGACTGCGATGACATGTGCAGGTGTTGTAGTGCTGTCCCTTTTCTTAAAGGTAAAACTTTAAGCCCCTTCCACTTTACACTCTGTTTCATGGACCAAGGGCAATGGGTGGGGTTAAAAAAGCAGAATTATGTATATATATATATAGAAATATATATATATATATATATATACATACAATGTAAATGTTCTTGTTTAACCTACTTATTTAAAATGAGTTGGAATAACAAAGCTCTTGACTTAGCACTTAATTGTTTTATGTTCAATCAACTTAAAATTGTAAAAACCAATTCACTTAATCCATTTACATTGAGATGAATTGTGTCGATTGTGTAGAACCCAGCATTTTTGACAATGTACATTCTGTTAGGAACAACTGGCATTGTAAAGAAAAGATTAATAATCTACTGATAAAGCTGAATAAATATGTAATTTGAATTAAAAATCAAAAACTAGCAGTAATTAGAGAGAGAACTAATTAAAAGTAGGACTAATGAAACATCGCTGAGTGCGGGGTTAGCCACACTGTTAGACCTTACCAGGGTTTTTTACAGTAGAACACTGGCAACACTGTTGCCAGCCACTCACTGTAAAAGTTTGGTTACAGTAAGTAACTGGCAACAGTGTTGCCAGTTAATTACTGTAACTGAACCATTACAGTGAGTGGCTGGCAACAGTGTTGCCAGTTAATTACTGTAACTGAACCATTACAGTGAGTGGCTGGCAACAGTGTTGCCAGTTATTTACTGTAACTGAACCATTACAGTGAGTGGCTGGCAACAGTGTTGCCAGTTATTTACTGTAACTGAACCGATACAGGGAGTAGCTGGCAACAGTGTTGCCAGTTAATTACTGTAATAGAGCAGCAGTGGTAACTAACTGGAAACTGTGTACAGTTAATTACTGTATTGTAGTGTTACAAATCACAGCATTATACTGCATACACATTAATAGTATGTCATATATAGTTATTGTAGTGTTACTAAAATTAATCAGTATTCTTAGCTGTTATTTAAAAATAGAAGGCATAACATTTTTCAGACAAATTTATTTTATTGTTTTGGCACCAAACAAATAAATAACAGAAAAAGTATAACAAAATTAAGAAATCAGCAGATATAAATATTGTCTTGCATATTACAGGTCTGCACAGTAAGGCTGCAGTCACACTAACATTTGAGCAAGCAAAATTCTGTCATACTGCACTGCGAAGTGGAATTAAACAAAGCGAGTAGTGGAATAAAACAAAATAATTAGAGATTGAAAAAGCAAGCCAGAGAGGTCATGTTCTGATCTTTGATTGGTATCAAGCAATCACATGATGTGATTTCGCATGTCAGCGTTCTCCAAGCTTGAACTTTCCAATGCTACGAATTATGAAATTTGTCGCATGAGCTATCATTCCAGGTCTGCAGTACTCACATGCGTATGAATGGAAGTCTATAGGAAGAAAAGTGCAGTGTGACAGGGACTTTAAGCTGTAACTCTAATTAAACACACCTGATCAAACTAATTAAGGCTTGTTAGAAATCTACAGGTACTGTTAAAGCAGGGTGGGTACTAAACTCTGCTGCCCTGCAGTTCTCCAGGAACTTGGAGTTTGACCCCCATGGTATACAGCAGTGGTGCTCAATCCTGTTCCTGGATATCTACCTTCCTGCAGATTTCAGTTGCTACCCATATCAAACACACCTGCCTGTAATTATCAAGTGGTGTTCAGGTCCTAATTAATTGGTTTAGGTGTGTTTGAAATGAATAGCAACTGAAATCTGCAGGAAGGTAGATCAGCAAATGAACAGCAAAAAACACAACATAATTATTTTAAAGTTTAAAGTTTTAAATAATTAAAAACTGTGTTAAATCTCAATAAAATTTTTAGTAAGTAATTATAAAAAATAAAGTTGGCAACACCGAAAAACCAAAGGATCCAATCTTTTATTGTTATAATTATCTCATGACAACAAACTTTATTATTGTTTCTAATATAAATTCATAGGTGGAAACACTGCTCTGAAAAATACTTAGCAACAAACTCACAACCTGGGACCGGACAGTGGAGCTTTTGTGTGTGGATGGCTATGTGTATCATGTTTTTGTGATTCCCTGTGATGATGTGCAAATGTTACCTTACTGAGATGAAGGAATTTAATTTTGGCTGAGTTGCCAGAAAGATACATACAACTGTTAGCATCTGTACATTATGGCAGTATGCAATATCCAATAAATACTTAAACAAAAGTAATGTAAGAAGTTATATGAGGAGAGGCTAACTAGCTAACAATGTAGCTTTCAAGTACACAGTTCAAGATAACAACAATATAACTTAAAACACAGCCTTATTTTAGAAACCCTCAAAAACATTTGAACACATTTTACTTACTCATTATAGATTCTTATTTAAAGCCTAAAACATATCAGACTCTACATCTGAATTGATGGACAGAGAATAGAGCGCACTCAGCAGTAAACAAATCAAACACCTGGCTCCCTTAAAGGGCCAGCATTTTCTGAAAACTATTTCTAACACCTTTGTGTTTAGAATAAGACAGACAGCCTGTGGGAGTGTATGGTGATGCCTAAATCATTATTTTCTGCCTTTAAAATGCACGTCTATATAAATAGCAACATAAACCATCAGAGAATTTAATGGAATTAATTCTTTGCACTACACAATTTCATACAAAGTCTACTCCTTTCACAGTAAAATAATGTGTTAATAAATAATAAATGTTTTCTTTTATTACAGCAAAACACTGGCTATTTTGCAGTTATTTACTGCACAATCTACAGAGTAACAGTGCAGTTATACTAATTAAACACACCTGATCAAACTAAATCTAAAGGTAGTGTGTTGAAGAAGGGCTGGAACTAAATTCTGCTGGGCTGCGGCTCTCCAGGAGTTTGACATCCTTGGTACATAGCATATTTTCAAAGGAACTGCCTACATTTATCACAATCATGCACATATCATTGAATAAAAACAATAATATACAAACAATATACAAACGTCATCCAAAGCAAAAAAATAAAAAATAAATAAATATTCTGATCCTCATGTTGTTCCAAACCTGTAGTAATAGTAATAATAAAAAACAAATAACCTGATTAATACATTTATTTAGGAAAGTCTTTATACTATACTGTTAATGCCATTTTTACCTACTTCATTTGAAGTTTTCCAAACAAATTCATTGAGTCTCTGCGAAAATGTTTGTACGTGCTGTTTAACATATTTTTTAAA